AAATATACAAAATCAGAGAGAGCAACATTTAGTGAGAACCTTGTTTCAAACCTGCTGAAAGCCAAAAATGGGGTGAGTGCAATTACCAAAAAGCAAAGAAATGGACAAAATGAGATTATTAACAGTTTCCACTTAGTTGAAAGAAAATAATTTCTGCTAACTGGGTATGTTGCTCAATAATTCCTAGAATCAAATTGCCATCTAAATTGTTCTTTACAGAATGCTGCAGAATTGCTGTCACACTATTATGTTTCTGGGTCCTCAGCACCTCTGAAAATGAGGCCACTGATTTAGATACCTAAATATAAATGTAGGAGCCTAGCTTTAAGCACCTTCTTTTATAAATCTGGCCATTATCTTTATTTCTGAAACGGTGTGATGCTTCAACACATCACTTATTGTAGCTACTCACAGGGTAAGCTGAACATTTTAGAGTGGAAGAGTAAAATGTTCATCTTCAGTCTACACAACTGATCTCTGTTGGGCATTCTGTATGCAGCCCTCTCAAACATCAGACACTAATTGGCATTCTTCATACAGAATAAGTATAAGAGAGATTGTGTAGGGGGGTTAGCAGGAAAAATTCTACATTTATAATTTTAACTAGTGGGATTGTTAACACCACCCAATGAGTAGGGCCTGTCAGTTCCTCCATTTGTCACTTAGGGCGAAATCCTGGCCCTGTTGAAGTCCCTGGCAAAACTGCCATTGATTTCAATGGGACCAGCATTTCATGCTTGGAGTTTGTTGATCTCTTGTACACTTTGCAGTGTCATATGCTAGGTCAGACACACAACAGTTGGTTGTATAGGAGTAACTATCACTGAACTGAACAGCAGTAGTCCTCAGAGTCCAACTAAACTCCACAAAGAAAATGCCACTCAGATAGAGAATAAATATGGCAAAATTACAGTTCTATGTTTTAACTCTCTTCATTCATGCCAGTGTGGTTCATACCATATAAGCGAAATGGTACTTGGGCATAACACTATTAGGTATTAGTAATACTGTCTTTAACACTTGGAACAATTGACTGAGTTAAAAAATTTCAGCTTTTTTTTTTAACTTAATACATTTTTACCATGAAGCTGCTGAAGTGATGAGTTTTATTATTATCGGTTGGATGGACACTGAGGATCCAATCCCGCAGTCCTTCCTCAGTCAAAACACCTACTGAGATCAATGGGAATTTTGTTCTAAACATGGAATGCAGGCTGAGGCAAGATCCTGTAAGGTCTCAAGTCATGCAGCAATAGGGAGTATGGGCATCTCATTTAACACTTTTTAGGAGTGGGCCTTTGGTTTACTAATCACCTACTTTCCTCTGTAAAATAGGAACATATTTATTGTTTATTTTATACATATTATTGATTAACAATAGAGCTGTGCAAGTGGGTCTTTATAGTAAGCACTGTAGAGAAGGAGTGCTTAGAACCTATAAGACTGGTGTGTGTGTGTGTCAGGAATTCTGGATTCTATTTCCGGTTTTACTACTGACTTGTTGTGTGATTTTAGGCTGTTAATGTAGCCTCTCTGTGCCTCGCATACCTATCTATAAAACAGGGTAATTTCCCCCCCACCTTACAGGGATGTTGGGAGGCTTAATTATATTTTGCAAAGTGCTTTGTGAGCCTCCTAAAAGGCCCTGAATTCTAATTGATAGTGCAAAATTATTACTTTTCAAACTGGTTATAAATTTGATTTTTTTTAAAGAAAGGCCTCGATCATGTTATGGGTTAATATTAAATAAAAGTGTTTAAAAAACACAGAGGTTTGTGAGCAGCAAAACTGCAACCTAACTGTTCCAAACTGGATTAATGAAAGAAATGCCAACATACTATGAACTAGTCACTTACTGCTATGGCTTGGTGATATGAATCTTCAGTGGTACCCATCCTATTCCCCCATCCCCTTTTATTTTCCTTTTTTTTAAGGAGGGGAGTTAATTTAGTGCTAAGACTTTAGAAATAAAGCAGCATTTATTCAGCATCCCTTGCCTCCTTTATTGGATTTCTCTCAGGCGATTTAACTTCAAGCCTGGTTGCAACACACTAACAAATCTCATCACTTTTTTTTTTCCCCTGAGCACTGGATGTAAACTACCCTCACTTTCCTCCTGACCGGTATCTCTGCAACAGCAGGTAACTTGTGTTAAACAACGCATCGCCCCAGACTCTGAGCCTGTTCCTAGAAGGAGCAGCGAAGGGGGAGGGAAACAAACAAGCGACTCGCGATTTTAAGGCACTTTCTCCCAGCGGCGCCTGGCCCGGACTCACCCCAGCCCCAGCGCGCGTGTAACCTAGCTCCGTGCCCTTTGTAAGGAGAGACTCGCTCGCGGTACACGCCCGTTTCCTTGCACACTGGGGTTTGTCCTTCGGCTGAACTTTCACCTCCCGAACTCGCCTGCTTTCATTGGATCAAGTGCCGAAAAAAACGAGAGGGGAGAAGCCTCTCGCTTCGGCGCTGCCTCCGAAGCGCTCGCACTTTCTGCCTGGCGCTCGCTCCAGATCTCTCCCGCACCCCGACCCATCTCCCCCTCGCTCTCGCCTCTGGACGGGAACAAGCCCCAGCCAACAGTTTGCTCGCCCCGCTCGCTAGCCCCCCACCCGCGTCCCCCTTTGCCCCAGCTCGGTTGTGTCCCCGTCTCCCCCTTTAGCCGATTGGCACCACCGCAACCCTTGTGTCCCCGGGTCTCCCCCCTCGCGCCTGGCTGGGCTGCGCTGCGCCCCCCGGCTCCTCTGCCTCTTTTGCAACTGCGAGCTGTGTGTGTGTGTGTGTGTGTGTGTGTTTTTCTTTGCACCGAGCCTTGTTGTTTACCCAGCAGGTGGATGTGACGTCAGAGACTCATAACAGCAAAAAATAACAACATCTCCCTCCGCGGGGGTGTTATTTCTCTCCTCCCCCCCCCAGCTTTACCTCCTTCTTCCTCCCTCTCGCCAAACTCCAGAGTGGCCGCGCAAGGCGCCTGGAGCCGAGCCGGGAGCGGCGGGGGCTGGGAGCGGGGCTGGCCCTGCCAGGCGCTGGGCTCCCCTGGAAGCTAGTCCCGAGCGGAGGGCTCTATTGTTATTTATTGTGCGGCTGTTGCACGCTGTGCCTGCTGCCCAGGCTCGGCGCATGGGGCTTGCCCGGCTAGAGTACGGGGAGGGACGGGCAGGCAGACTCACCCGCGCTGGGGGAGCCCGTAGTGGGCACCGACAGGCCGTCTCCAGCGGGTGAGTTTGGCTTTTCGGCTTTTCCCCTCCACTTTTCAGGCGCCTTCTTGTTTGTTTCACTTTTCTTCCCCCCCCTCCTCCAGCCCCCTAACTCCTTCCATCCCCCCCCATCCCGAGCCTCCACGTGCCCCCCTCCCCCTGGCTGCTGGCGGGGGATGCGCGCTGGCCGCCGGTCTGTTTGCATAAATCAGAGCCGATGCAATGGGAGAGGCGGCGGCTCCTTCACCTCTGGGGCTGGCCGCTGGCCACTGCCGCCGGAGCAACCCCACCAGCCACCCCCAGCGCAGCGCCCCGCTGCGGGAGCGCGGCGAGCCGGGACGGGGAGCTGCTGCCGGGGGGGGGGGGAGGAGGACGACGCCGTTCCCCTCGGCGCTG